TCACCTTGCTCAAGCAGTTCAGGACAGCATAGCCATGAACAGGTTACCCGTACCTGAGCCTACAGTGTTCAACGGAGACCCTATTCAGTTTGTAGACTGGAAGGCATCATTTATGTCATTAATAGATAGAAAGGGGCTCAGCACACAAATATCTTGAGGGCACTTTTTATCGAAATGATGAAGAAGCCTACAAAGACGCTTGGGACAAGCTTAACCAAAGATACGGCCAGCCCTTTGTTATTCAAAGAGCATTTCGGGAAAAGCTGTCTAAGTGGCCTAGAATACAGTCCAAAGATGCAGAAGGTCTGAGAACATTTTCAGACTTCTTAAATGCCTGCTTGCAAGCCATACCTCATGTTAAAGGTCTGGAAATATTAAACGACTGTGAAGAGAACCTGAAGCTGGTACAGAAACTTCCTGACTGGGCAGCTTCCAGATGGAACCGCCAGGTCACAACAACCCTCATGGATGGCAAAGAGTTTCCAAATTTTCAAGACTTCGTCAATTTCATGTCAACAGAGGCAGAAATCATGTGCAATCCCATCACGTCTTTACATGCTCTTCATTCTTACGAGTCACCTCAAGAAAGAAGAGTCTCAAAGGAAACCAAAAGAAACAGAGCAATTGTGTTTAAGACTCAAACAAGTGTAAACAATGACAGACAAACAACAGTTAAAGAACAGTTAAAAGCACAGTGCATGTTGTGTCAAGATGACAATCATCAGCTTCATACGTGCCCAAAATTCATGGAAAGGTCTCTGAAAGACAGAAGGGCCTATGTCAAAGATAACAAACTCTGTTACAGGTGTCTAAAACCAGGTCACTGTGCTAAGGAGTGTCGTCGTCGACACTGATAATTTGGTGGGAGTGTAACAGACTTTAATAAGAGTTATTCTTAATTTCTCTATTTGTTTTGTGTTGCCTTTGATATATTTTGTATGTTAAAAATTGTCTAAGGATCGCATTATTTCCGTTGTTTATGGGGGACTTTTATTTTGAAACGGAATCTGCTTTTCACTGCTCAGAGAGTAACGTTAATGAGAAATGGTATGGAGAGCGAACGCTTCATGACGGCTTAACAGAACTTGTGCACGAAAGGACGGTTTATAAGTTTATTCAGCACCCCCCGAAAAGGCATAAGGTTTGTGTATTTGTATACTGTTAGTTAAAACAAATATTTGTGAAAATCGCTGAATATGTCTAATGTTAATGCACATTTTTGTATCGCTTCATTCAGCTCTTACGGTGATTTCTTGACTAAACGGACAAGTAATAAAACTTCAAATCATCAGTAAAGTTTCGGCCATCATTCGGACGGGGTCTGCTATACTGTTAATGATGTTTGCAGCACAGTATTTGACCGGAAGAGTAAAGATGACTATGTTGGAGCTAGCCTTCTACCTGCTTCAAATCAGACACAAAGATAAAATAGTGCAGCAAGATCTCATTTGTTTGAATGAATTATAGCATTTATTTGAATTAACTATTGATCGAGAGAGAGAGAGACAAAATGACCGTTGTGTATGTAAATTACCTGCGTTTGTGCATTTCGTTACTTCAAAAACAAAGATTTTGCCTCTTCGTTGTTGAGAAATATAATGTAGCAATTCAGTATCAAAGCTATTTTATTAACAAAAGTCACAGACAGCAACCAGTATTGGCCCACATCTGGCCCGCATGGATTTCACACGGGCCAGATGTGGGCCGGATCTGGGCCAACACTATGTATGGGCTAGGGCAGCGTTGACAAGAAGTTGCTGTGCTCCTGAACGTTTCTGTGTGTGCGCAGAGCGATCTGCGATCTCTGTGTGCAAGTGATGTGTGTGTGCGTCATTGAAAGCAGCGCATTAATAGGCCTACTAATGTAACTACCTGTTCATTAAACCAGGCAATCAGAATCTAGTATTCAGACAGACCATGGTATAATACGTTTTATGAGGCAGCAGCAGAAATGTAGAAAGCTGGAATGTGTGGCTTTATTACATGCTGCCGTCTGCGCCCATCTCAAAACTGAGAGCTGTGTCTTAGCAGTATATTGTCATTTTACACTTGATACGTTCTTTACAAAAACACAACTTTGGGACCACAAGGGTGTGTAGAACTTTTCATAAAAAGTGTGACAGTGTTGTAACAATGCAAGTGTAGCCTCATGGGCAGCACACTGACATGTAGCGCTGTTGCACTTGGGCCGTCCCAAGTTTGAGTCCTGGCTCGTGGACCTTTTCCGATCTCATCCTCCCTCTCTCTCACACTTTGCTTCCTGTCTAAAAACTGTCATATCACAATGAAAAAGGCAAAAACTCCAAACATGAATCTTTAACGAAATGCAAGTGTTTACAGGGCTTTATTTTGATTTTTAATGCTTTCCATTTTAAAATAAACTTCTAAATGTCTGATCAGTAGCCTAGTCTCTATAACAGACAACACAATTTAATAATTGTGGTGCTTCTAATTAAGTGCTAAAAAGCAGTTGCAAATGTTGTACAAAATAAACATACTCATCTTTGCATCAATAAAATGTGCAACACTTTATGTTTTTCTAACAAATGATATGTAATATCTAATTGTGCCAGCAGCTGTCACTCTGCAGCTCTCGCCTGGTTGGCCATTGATGCTAAGCAGGGTTGAGCCTGGTCAGTACCTGGATGGGAGTTCTCCTGGGAAAATAGGTTGCTGCTGGAAGAGGTGCTAGTAAGTCCAGCAGGGGTTGTTTACCCTGCAATCTGTGTGGGACACAGTAATGGGGACACTATACTGTGAAAAAGCACCGTCCTTCAGATGAGATGAGACATTAAACCGAGGTCCTGACTCGTTGTGGTCATAAAAATCTATCTATCTATTAGACTACAAGTTCTTTAGAAGTGTTCTTTAAGTAATTAAAAAAAAACAATCCGACAAACAATCAGACTATCAGCAATCAAACTATAACCTAACAATACTTTTTATTATGTGTACTGTAGCTTGTGTTTATTAATTGGACTAAACGGAAGGAAAGGCAGCTAACACGTACACGGTATATATGCCCTTTTAAACATCACACTTTTTAACAAGAATCCCCAGTATTACATCTCAAAACATGAAGGACGCACAACATAATTGTCCAGTGAATTTCCTAGACACAGTCCAGCTCCTCGGAGGACCCTGTTTAATGAATCAGTCTCTTCAAGCACTTCTGAACAGCCATCGATGACTTCCATTTGATTTTCCTTCTCTGTTTTCTGAGTTTACCTTTTATTATTATTATGACCTCTGATTATAGGTTGATTGTCTGACAATTAAATAAATAAATACATACATATTTTTTCTGTGCTTATATGCACTTGACCAGCACATTGTAACAGCAATCACATTCATTCAGATCCTTAAATCAATGGAAGTGTTCACCCAAAAAGGTTTTCTTATTATTTTCTTAAAGGGGTCATATAATGCGATTTCAATTTTTAATTTCTCTTTGGAGTGTTTCAAGCTCTTGGTGCATAAAGAAGATCTGTAAAGTTGCAAAGACTAAAGTCTCAAATCCAAAGAGATATTCTTTATAAAAGTTAAGAGTCAACCACGCCTACCTAAAACAGCTCGTTCTAACACGCCCCCGCATGTCTACGGCACGATGTGGGAAGATTTGCATAACACCGCCCAAATGTTCACGCAAAGAAAGAAGGCGTAACTTTTATTCTCGCTGTAGTATTGTTGTTGCCGCCGCCGCCATGTCGTGAAGGCGCTGTGTTTCGTTGTGACAGCGAAACTACTTTGTTTGGCCTTCCAAAAGAGCACGATATCCGCTTCATCATGCCTGGAGCTGATCTGTGCTGGTCGCTAAGGAAATACAACAACTTCGCGCTGTGGATCGCCGGATCGGCTTCACCGTGGACGAAGCGGAGTCCAGCCCGGGGTCGTCACATGTGGTTGGCGCAAGCCCGCCGGGCGCTCCTTCGTCGAGTCATTTTAGGCCTCCGGTCTCCACTCACGCAAGGCCGCGGTGTGTGACGCTGTTTCGTTGTGAAAGCTAAACTACTTTGTTTGGCCTTCCAAAAGAGGACACGACTAGAAATCAGTGGTTAAGTTGTATTTACAACACTGTTCCAGAACAGTTCAACCCAAATATTCAGATGTGTGCAGCACATTTTATGGAGGACCGTTTCCTGATCCTGGGAAAGTAGACTACAATGCCGGCTGTTCTGACTCACAGACTGTAAGTATGTTTTTTTATATTTAAAGAATTTGCCACTGATGATTCAAACGCATGTTTTTGGGCAGTGTAGAGTAGCACTTGTTGTTTGTCATTTCTCCGATCACAAATGCAGACACGGTTTTATGTTTACGCGGCGCGATGCAACGCAACGCGTAAAAAGACAGTATAAGTCTCGCTCCGGCCGAACAGGGCATCACAATATGGTAGGGGCTTAACATTTCCGTCGCACGCTTGAGGTATTCAGCCAATCACAATGCACTGGATAGCTGGCCAATCAGAGCACACCTCACTTTTTCAGACCGATGAGCTTTGTAAAAATCGACGCATTTCAGAAAGGCGGGGCATAGAGGAAAAACAATAATGTATAGTATGTGGAAAATAATGTTTTTTTAACCTTAAACCGCATAAACACATTTTATTACACCAAATACACAAAATAATGTTCTTTTTAGCAGCATCATATGACCCCTTTAAATTGTTTCAAAACCATATGCTGTTGTTGGAACACAAAATGAGAATTTTGAATATTCATTGCATGTTTTGAATGCAATGACAATTCAATTCTTATTTTCAAATCAAACATTTACAATTTTTAGATATAATGGCTGTGTAATGTGGGTTGTTTCATGTTCAAATTATTTTGATATTTTGCCTTGTCATGGTTCCTGTCTAGTCATGTGATTCCCTTACCCTCATGTTATCCTGCTATTGGTTCTTTGGTTCATGTGTCATGTTCTCATTGGTTGTCTTAGTCATGTGTCCTGTCTCTCATTGGCTGATTCTTGTCATGTGACCTGTAATGTTGCTGGCCATGTTGTAACCTGCTGTCGGTAAGTCAAGTCTGTTCAAGTCTGTTCATGCCAAGTCAAGTCTTTCTTCGTTTGTTTGGATGTTTGGATTAGCTGCACTTGGGTTCATCACAACTCGTCTTCAGTGGACTGCTCGTTACAGGCTGTCTGCAGTTTTGAAGTGTGATCAAAAAACATGAAAATCAATCACTTTTGATATTAGTGATGTCCATCAAAATATGGCCTGTTCCTTACACAAAGCTATTGCAAGGCTTTGGAAAACGTGGAATGCAGCATAAGTAATATGAAACTGAGCAAATAAAGCCTTTTTGGAGCTTGACAGCTTGTGATTACTACAAACCTTCTTTGTCTGAAAAAGATTTGAACATTCATCAAAATTCTCTCTTTATTTTCCTCAGAAAGAATAACAGCATACAAATGCAACAATATGGGTGAGTAAATAACATTTTTATTTTTAATTTTTTTAAAAATTTTTTTTTACGTGACCTATCCCTTTAAGGCTGTATGGTCCATCCACATTAATTTTTCATCACAAGCACACACCACAAAGATGGCATCATGCATATCATCATCAACACAATACACTGCAAACACAACTGGATGAATTCCACAAAGAACATTTATGGTGATTCCAGGATAAACACAGTGTGTAAGCCTGAACATTCACGACAGCATTTCATATAAATGAATGATTCCTGAGCTAAGGCCATTGTAAAACATTAAGTGGCATTCCTAATCAGCATGTAGAGAGGAAATGTTAGATAAGCAACGTGTCAGAAGCTTTTAGCTGGGGTTGTCACTCTTGACTCTGAGATTTAATTAATTAGAGATCCTCATTAACTGATTCCAGACACGTAAGCCGTTATACACGAGGCACTGTATATTTATAACCCTGTTCCAGACCGGCAAATATCTCCTGTTCAAGGTATTGCCTGAGGCATTGTGCTGTCATTTGGTCTTTACATTCATAATTACCTGTAGTTGCATCTTTCTAGAAGATATCCAAGCTTGAAACCACAATGTGATACTGTTGCTTTTCCATATTCAAGTGGATTCAAAACGAATTCAAGCAAACGGATACTTGCTCATATTACAAATACCAAGACACCATCAGCAGCTTATACATGTAGATGTCTGGGCACAGAGTAAAAGTCCTGTATTTCATGTTTACAGGGAAAAATCTAGCTCATTGAGGTATCCTGACCCTCTATGCTTGTTGTCTGCTGGGCTGGTCACCGCTTCCGAGGTCCGACTCAGCTTCTCCGCTTGCACCCCCTCTCCTTGCGGAGAGTAGGTCCAGTGATTTGGGAGAAGAGTTTTGATTCCTTCTGCTGAAGCAGCTGGCTATGTCGGCTCGGAACGAGGGTGTGAAGAAACCATAGATGACCGGATCGCAGCACGTGTTGAGGTTGCCGAAGACGAAGAGAGCATGATGGATGTATTCTGGCATCACCTGCAGCATATAAGGCTGAAACCAGTACCAGATGCCAAGCAGGTAGTACGGTGTCCAGCACACCACAAATGATGCCACAATGATAATGGTCATCTTCAGGGTCTTCATGCGTGCTTTTGGGATTATGTCGGTTCCACTGCGTCTCAGACAAGGTTCCCCACCTACAAAACCCAATGCAAGTTAGAAGAACACTAAAAATGGCGCTGTGTGACCTGCATTATCATTTTGACCCAGAAACCAGTCAATGAAAAATGAAAATCTATGCTTTCTGGTGATATAACACTCAAACTCTGTACTGCTGTTTGAATTGAAGCCTCTGCATCGCTCTGTATTACCACACAAAAGAGCCTCTAAACTATTTTTTTGAAATTCACATTAAAACTGATGTCATTTGAGATGAGACTTGGTTTTATCAAAAATAACACATTAAAAGTCCAAATTCAAGGCAGCCCTAGAACCCATCTCATTAACTGTAAGAAGTAAATTCTTCATCAAATTCAGTACACTATGGAAATCTTGATGCAGTCACACTGTTTATCAATGACAGGTACCATGTCAGAAGAGAGCAAAAGTCAATTACCCTTTCCTTTACCACGAGGCATCTGGCGGTTGATTTCCACAAGGATTCGCGTATAGCAGAAGCTCATTACCAGCAGAGGGAACACATACAGGGTGACAAAGTGGAACATGTTGTAGGCTGTTTCCTGCCAGCGCTGCTGGAAGCTTCCATGAGTTACACACTGCACAAATTCAACTCCTTCAGCCTTAATTGCCCTGAAAATAAGTAACTGAAACGATAAAGAGAAATTTATAAAGAAAATCAATAAATTTGATTACTTTTTTTTTTTTTTTGTTATCTGGGCATTTGCCTTATTTCTCCTATACGGAACACAAAAGGAGACTTTTCGTTTTTCATGCAAAACTGTTGTATGGCATGTGCTTTTGTGTCCTTTATAGAAACTTGAAAGCTCCAGTCTTCATTCATTGCAATTTCATGACAAAATTTCACCTTTTGTGTTCCACTGAGGAAAGAAAGTCATACAGGTTTGGAATGACATGAGGGTGGGTAAATGATTTTTATTTTTTGAGTAGACTAACCCTTTAATCACTTTGTAATCTGCTGATCAGATTTTTGCAACTGCTTTGCATGAAAATATTCACACATCTTCTACAAATAACTACACCATGTGAAATGGAAAAGAAAGTGAAAGTTTGAAAATTAGTAACAGCAAGCTAAAAAGTTGTCATGTCATGAATTGAGACATGAAATAGAGCATTGTGATGACAAAACGCTCCTCATGGCTGGTAGTAACTGATTACATGTCATTTGGATTACATATTTAGATTCCAGAAATTGAGTACTTGTAATTAGATTAAATTATATTTTAAAATACTCGTAATCTGACTAGTTACTTTTTTATTGATTACATGATTACATATAATTGACAACTTAATGATTCTTCCTATTTCCTCTTTCATCTTTTAAATGTTCTTTTCTAAAATATCCTACATATGACATGCATGTAAACAAACAAAATATTAAATTTTTAGTAAGTGTTTTATTTACATTAATTTGACATATTTACGATTTTATTAATTATTAGCTTTTCATTAAATTCAAAACCCCCCTGCAATTCCTTGATGAACCCCAGTTTGGGAAACGCTGACACTTCATGTTGTTAAGAACAATGAATGGAATATATTTATTTTCTTTCTTTTTGTATTTTTGTATCAAGATTATCCTATTTAAATCAATGTGATAAACAAGTTAGGTCAAAAGTAATCCAAAAGTAGTCAGATTATATTACCTAAAATGTGCTCATGCGGGGATGGGAGGAGAAATCCTCGTGGATTTACCAGCGTATCAACACTGGACTTATTCTAAAATGAATCAATTTTTGGGTCATTATAGAATATAGAAAGAACACATTTTGCTATCTCTTTTGAACTTCAATCAAATATTGTAAATTGTCATCATGTTATCACTTTGTGCTTTCAGATTTAAAAAAAAAAAAATTTGTTTGCTCCAGGTCCGCTTTATTTTTCCATTTGATATACTTCTCTACTTTCTGCTACACAATTTATCAGGTAGCACTGATGAATGTGACAGAGGGAAACCCTATTTCTTCCTCTGGGGGAGGCGCGTGCACAGAATACAGGTGTGGGGAAGTATCTATGTATCGATATCTACAATTCACCACCCACCCAATCTCTTCAGAATTGTATCCCTTTCCCATTTTCCATGGCTGCCTAACTGACCTTGTCTCAGACAGGCTTCTTTATCTCTCTTTTAATGATTTTAAAAGCCATGGCCACATCCAAAGGCTGCTAAAAACGACATTACTGGAATTAAGTGTGTGGAGAGAAACAGTTCTATCAGAGGGAAAGAAGGCAAGAGTATGGCAAGCCGTTTTAACATTTAATCTATAAACCGTACTAGTACTAGTAACTTTACAAAAGACACTAGTACCTAAAGAATAAGCACTAGTACCTAAAGAATAAGCACTAGTAGTTAATGAATAAGTACTAGTACTTAATGGAAAAGATACTAGTATCTAAAAAATAAGTACTAGTAATGTTAAATTAGCTACTAGTGCTGTTTATAGATTAAATGTTAAAACGGCTTTCCATAGCAAGAGACACTGACAAGATTCAACCAGGCATTTCAAAGGTTACAGAAAATGCCCCGGGACTACTGTAGCTTGACAAATAGGATCTATAATCAATGCAGCAAGTGCTCACCAGGGTCAGTTATTGCACCACTTTAAGCCACAACTAGTTACTTAAATGAAATGCGCAAGCTTAGATGGCTATCAGGAAATGCGTGTTGTAGGCTGAAAGTGGAATTGAATTAAATTTGAAACTAAACTCCACTTTTTTCCCTCAGAGATGAAATGTGTCATTGCCCAATTAAATTAGTGTGATGATCTGTTTATAGTTGTCTCCTCATATTAAGCTGGAATAGGATGCAGCATTTTGAAAAAGACATGCATCACCATCAACAAGTGTTTTCTAACACCAACATTATCATCCATCTATAAATCCTCCGAGGCAGTTTTGTGCTGTTTCATAACAAGACAAGTCCCACAGATGACAACTCCAATTAAAAGAACATCTCTTTCATTTACCTGTGGAGAGGCGAGTAGGATGCTGAGTATCCAGGCAGCCAGCAGCATCCTCCTGTTCCTGCGGCCGGCATCCAGAGCTTCCAGCGGTTGCAAGATCGCATGGTGCCTGTCCAGACTCACCACCACCAGGATAAACGCTGCCGAATGCATGGCAAAAAGCTTGAGGAAGCAGAGGATCTTGCACATGGCATCGCCAGCATACCACTGCACTGTGATATTCCATATAGCGTCGAGTGGCATCACCACAAATGTCATGACAAGGTCAGCGGAGGCCAGGCTGGCAATGAGGGGCCGCATGTGGGGGGCCAGGTGGCGTCCTCGTCCCCGGGTCACGCTGATCAGCACTGAGAGGTTACTGATAGCTGCGAAGACAAACAGCACCAGGGTGGCCGCCACACGGAAGCGCGCGGCCACAGTGAATGTGGGCGTCTCCCAGTCAGAAGGAAAGCGAGGAGGGGTGGCGTTCAGCACAGACGAGTTCTCCCAAATGCTTGTGGGACTCATTGACAGAAGAGACACGTTTCCTGACATCCTGTGAAAGGGGGAAAAAGATGTTTGTTGCATGAGTAAGGCTTTTTCTGTTACACAAATTTATAATTATTATATTCTATGAGATTCAGTATCACTGGTTATTATTAAGGTTAAATAACATTCAGAATGTAACATTTAAGAATGGGCTACTTTTCAATTCATGTATTGGAATTTGAATTTGAAGAAATTTGTTAAAAATAAAAAGTATATACATTTAAAATATAAGTTTGGAATTGTTAAGTCTCTTATGCTCATCAAGGTTGTATTTATTTGAAAAATACAATAAAAACTAATATTTTGAAATATTATTACAACTTAAAAGAACTGTTTTCTATTTTATTATATTTTACAATTTAATTTATTCCTGTGATGGCAAAGCTGCATTTTTAGTCATTACTCCAGTGTTCAGTGTCACATTCCTTCAGAAATCATTCTAATATGCTGATTTGATGTTCAATAAACATTTCTTATTATTATCAATGTTTGTGTAAACCATAAAACCTTTTTTTGATGATATTTCAATAAAGTTCAAAAGGACAGCATTTATTTATTTGTAACATTCTAAATGTCTGTACTATCACTTAAAAACAACTGAAAATAATTTGTTTTAATAAATAAATAAATGGACCCCAAGCAAATGTAAATTAAGTATACATTTCTGCAGGTGACATTTCAAACATATCTGTTTGTCTATAAAACCTTTAGGCTTGCAAGCAAGGCTTTGTCAATAAATCATTCAGTTTGACTTGTATTGACAAACCTTCCTTTTCTAGCTTTTTTCATTTTCACTTACTGCACTGATTTTTATTTTGCCAATTTCGGTTTACTTTAATTCTATTGCTTTCAAATTCAGATTGCAATTCTGCATATTCTTTGCTACCTTGAAGTTTAATTAGAGGCCAGACAGACAGACAGATGCGCACTAATGCGTGAACTGAAAGAGAGCCAACTCTTCAATTTTGGTTTTTGCTCAACTGTAGATTCTTGGCATCTCATCATGCACTTTACTAAATAATAATCCATTGTAAAATTCAGCAAAATGTTCACCAAGACATGAATATTCAGATCACATCACCTAGAAAGCCTGATTGCCATTACATTACAGTCACCGCAGATGCATTCATCACCCTTACGACTTTACACCCAAACATCTATCTCCTCTGCAGTGTAATATCCTCTGCATTTATAGCACCCATCTGCCTGCTCATCTTCCACAGATAAAAAACTCTTGCCAGGGGCATTTTTTTCACTCTGGGTCTCCTATAGCAAATAGGGGGACCTTGGTTAAGTGGCAGGGAGATAGATTACACCTCAGAAGTTTTTTAAAGGTCTATATATAAATCTCCGAGACAACTATCAGGGGTCTGCGCTGAGATTCACAGCAGACTGAGATTCACAATTAAGTAATTCATGCATACAGTATTACAGATGTTCTAACTGCCTTTTTCATTATTCTTCCTGAAAAAAAAAAGGTAAATAATTTCTAATGGTGATAAGATAAGAGTTTACATTCTTGATAACATCCTGCATGTTGCCCGGAAGACAAAACATGTTTTAATGGTTAAGGGTTCCCACTCCGGCTCTGGTTCAGATATAAATGCCCTATCATGCTGACAAATGGCTGTTGTCAGTATTTCCCTTCGCTCTCAAAGTAATATGGTCTTTTGTATAGCTGTAGTCTGGCAAACAGCATGGAGGTGATAGAGAGAACCCTAGTGACATGACCGCTGCACTAGCCTCCCTTGTATCTACACCCCCCACACCAAATTGCACTTGTTCCTCATGCTTGACATGAAATATATTCTCTAAAGAGTAGCAATGTCTTGACCTGGAGAAACTTACTTTGTATTTTTCCATCTAGTGAAATCAGTATGTATTTAATTAAATCCATTTCATGAAAGATATTAGTTCTTGCTGTTGTTTGTTTGATTAATCAAATGAGCCAATGTATGTATCTGCTCTATGAATTAGCATTTTACAGCTGTTATAATAGATGATGTCCTTGGCTTCACTATCTTCCTGTTTATATGACGGATTGCTTGAATAATTGCTGGACATCTGCCTGCTGGAAACATGGCAGATTTGCACTGCTGCCTCTTAATGTTAATGCTGGTAAACATTATGCAAATATATGCACAGAAGAGTGTCAGCCGTCATAACTCTTTGTAATATAGCACAAGTGAGGTCATGAAGATGAAAATCTTACTAAAGGGCTGTTAGAAATGCAGAATCACATAACTACTTGACTTTAAATTTCTTTCTTGTTTTCTTTTACACGGAATGGGTTGTTTTCTTGGTGGATTCCTCATACATTCATTCAGTGCTGCCAAAAATATCCAAGATTTTTAGGGATCATTGTCATCATAATCTCCAAAACGTTGCCTGTGAATTTGCGTAATTATATTCATATCCTTGCTCACATGACTAATGACTTGGAGCCAGCTAATTAAGATAGAAGTGATGAGAATATTAAGATTTCATGGCAAATTAATGTGTAAATGGGCTGATATTTGCCAGAGTGGGATGACATTCACCAGAGTGGCCTGAAATAAGACTTTATAGCTTATGAATTTTTATTCTGACCCACAAGAAGTGACAGAAAATACAAGGAAATGTCATTTATAATGCCAATTCTCCCATTGACCACGTCTATTGGACATTTTTGCTGGGTGTTTAGTTTATAGGATGTCATATGTCATGAGGCACATATTTAATAGCAGAAAAGGAATTGTATATGCTTCATAATCTTCACCTCTGCAGGGTTTAGCAGCTAATTCATTTATGCCAGATATTGGTGTAAAATAGTTAGATCTTAATTATATCAATGATACTGTTTCTTTGGTACACCTTTGAGGATTCACATTCAGGATTAATCAGGGAAAGTTTTTTTTTTTTTTTTTTTTGGTTCTTTTACATTAGTGTATTAAAACAGAAGTGATTCTGAAATCAATTCCAAACTTAGACCTTTTATTTGCATCTCCAGACCTATAGTAAACTGTATACTGAAAGCATTTCTGCGCATCATATGATTTGATGATCATAATACTGATGATCATGCACTTGATTCCCAGAAATACTTTCAATGCAGGCTGTTTAGAATAGTTTCTTAAGACAAAACCTTTGACTTGGTTTTATCTCCTCAGTAAGCGCATTACAGTAGTTAATGGCTCTCATGCACAACTGGAACAGTAACAGAGACAGACTTACCTGTATACTGCAATGTGTGATTTGTAGATCAATCCATAAATATTTCACTCATTTCCACTAATATGCGGACAGTTATTTACGTCTAAACATGCTGAGAAAATAACTGCAGTTCATTTAGCAGTCCGTCATCAGATCAGAATAAATCCAGTGTTGATACGCTGGTAAATCCACGAGGATTTCTCCTCCCATCCCCGCATGAGCTTGACGGCACCATGGACTCCTGTAGGGAACAGTTTGCCGCAGTCAACGGTAATTCACTCATCGGGGTGGTAACGATGATTTGCCGGGGCAAAAGTTTAGTTGCTTAACGATGTAGCATAGTAGAGCACTTTTTAAGAAGCTACATGTTGTTTTAGTCGCACTTTTGGCCAAAAACCGAATGTTTAAAGGGACTCGCGGAGCTGTCCAGGTGCTGAAGAGTCTCCAGATGAGGAAGCCAAGAGCTTCAGTGTTACAGCAGCCAGCGCTGCTTCACCCACAGACACACTCATCAACTACACAACACAGCGAGGAAACCTCAGCGTCATCGTCATTTGAACAGGAAATTAGGTTAACTGTGATTCAGCTTACCATATACGGTGGACTGCACGATATAGCCGACGATAGGCTATACTTTTACGGTAATAATAATAAGCGAAATATATGTGAACGTTTAGATTTTTTTTTTAGATTTTTTAGAATTTCAGATTTTCTTTAGGCTATTACTTTAGAGTGTTTTTATTCAGTTTATGCGTTGTTTTAGTCTTATTATTGTTATTGTTATTATTATTATTATTATCATTATTATATAGCCTATAGTCTTGTTATTATTATTTGGTACCATACGAGTTAAATCGAAATACACAAATGATTTCACACTGTTTTCATGTGCCTGTTTGAGACTGAATATATATATATATATATATATATATATATATATATATACATACAGGCTATACAGAGACTATACAGAA